CGGGCAGGGTTTGCGCTGTGCCGGCCTGGCCCCTGCCCTGCCCATCCCTTCCCAGGGGCTGGGGGAGGGGGAACTGGCATTACCGGTAGGGGATCCCATGAAGTTTCCTTCTGGGGTATGTTCTCTTATAGGACTCTCAGCTTCTATCTGCTACTCCGTGTGGACAGTACTTAACTGGTTTCCATAGTTGCTTGCCCTGGAAAGGGTTGGCCCTTTTCCTTTTTGGGGGTGGGGGGATGTTTCCCCTTTAGGGCATACCCTCGAGCTCATGCTGTCTCTGCAAGGCACCAACAAGCAAAGGGTTAATTTCCTGTCTTAATTCCTGAGCAGTGCAATAATTACCCAGCCCGGAGATCAGCAGATTGCTCTCCCCTTTGGGAAAATACAGGAAAATCAACAATTAACACTAATTAATCTCCTATTAACACCAGATAATGAGGATCACTCGTACAGCCGGAATAGACTCTGACAGCTACTGCTGGCCTGGGCCATAGGGAGTGGGAGCCCAGAGCCAGGGGATCTGCCTCTGCGAGCTGTGGGTGGGGGAATGCCAAAGGCCACGCTGGTGGTGTAAGATATGTGACACCAGTGGGTCGCTCGTGCCTCGGTGGACATGGGACACGCCAGAGATGTTGTGCAAAATACGTACAATGTCTTCTGGGGCTCTGTAGCAGCTAGGGTGGGCACAGTTTGACTCGAGGCACCCGCTGCACACAGCACAGATACAGGATGTCTCTGCAGCCCCCAGGCACCATACACCCCTGAGACCCCTGTGCACCCCTCGAGTTACAGTGTGTGTGCCTTAGCCTCGCTGCTCACAAAACAGGTGTCAGTCCTTGCCCCAGAACAGCTCCTGCTCTAAGTAGAAAACCAGGAGGAAAGGAGCCTGGCAAGAAGCAGAGTGCTGATTGCACACAAGGAGCTCGCAGCAGCGGGGCGGGTGCATCCCAGCGGTGCATATTAGTCCGTGTGTCTGAGGAGAGGCTGTGGGGAGCCAGCTGTGCTGAATGCAGCCGTGTTGGGTGCTGGCTCAGTTGCCCTCTTTGCAGGGGTGGTGCTCTGGCATTTCCCACCATCAGTGGGTTTGACCTCCTGGGACGGGAAGGGCATTAAGTCTCTAGGTTTACTCAGGCTGGTTTTGAGCAGCGCTGGGAGGTGGAGGTGGAGGTGGGGCTGGCAGGACCTTGCCCCGAGGCGCTGCTCAGCTGCTGTCTGCCTGGCGCAGGTGCTGCGGTACTGCCACACCTGCCCCCGTGCCATCGAGGCCCTGATCAACTGCTACGACCGCGTGCGTGTCTCTGAGGACTGGGTGGAAGCGGTTCCGGAGGAGGTTGTACAGGTGAGGGAATGCAGCGGGGCCACCACAGCAGGGGGCAGGAGGAGGCCTGGGGCTGGGCAGGGTTTGGGCAGGGCTGGGGCTGGGTGGAGGTCTGCAGGGCACAGGGGTGGTGCTGCTGGGGGAGAGGGAGGATGCACCATGGTGACTAAGGCAAGGGGATGTCTGGTTCTACCTCTGCTCCCTCAGGGTGACATGTCTCAGTGCTCTCTTCAGCTTTATCTGCCTCTGGTCCTCTCTCCTCTCTCTGCAGAAATACCCACGTTTCTACCAGTCACTTTTTGCCCTGGAGCAAAGACCTCGTTCCTTGCAGCACCTGGCTCGCTACACGCTCAGGACCTTTCTGGAGGGCCGGTTGCTTCTGGTCCTGCCTCAGCTGCACCTGCCCAGTGCTTTGCACAGTTTCCTGCTGCTTGGCTTTGAGGATGTTCTCTACTAAGGGCTGTGGTTCCCGTCCTCCCGTGCCTTTCTGGGCAGATGTTCCATCCCTGCCAGTACAGTCTGTGCCTTCCCAGCCCACTCCTGCCACACCATGCCAGCCCCTGTGCCAGACCTGTTGCTATGTCTGTGTCCTAGGCCAGCCTTGTGCTCTGCTTTGTGCGCCTATTTTGGATCATTCTGTTTGCCCACACTGACTGGGAACAAACTCCAGACTCGCTAAGAAAAGCAAGATGTAGGGATTAGCCCATTTTTGGGGTCAAGGAGCAAACCAGTGATCACAGTTTAGCTGTAGGGTATCAGTCTCTTTCTTCCAGATCTACAAACACTAACTAGAACCAGGCGGCTCCAGCGCCCTGGGCATTTGTTGGGATCCTGTCTTTAGCTGAGTTGTTTACAGTTTGCACCCAAAGGTGTTTGGGATAAACCCTTGCCTTTTGCTATACCTACCAGAGTACAAATTCTGCCTTGCCTGGGAGGCTGTCCTGATGGAGCTCATCCATGAGACAGGCCATGCATACTGGCATGTGCACACTCAAGCCTACGCACCACCTGCTTCTCAGAAGGCAGGAAGTGTGTGGTGGGTGTGGGGCTGAGGCCTCCCAAACAAACGCTTCCCAGGCAGGTACATTGTCTGAGGTGGCCTGGCTTTGCAGCTTGGGACAGGACAGCAGTGCTCTGAGGACTTCAGCGTGGGCTGCGGAGGGAGCATGCCCTGAAAGCACCAGTCCCCTGGGCACAAAGCAGCCACCCCCTGCAACAGCCCAGCCAGCATCTACCAGAGCACCATGCAGGGTCACATGCCGCTGCCAGGGCTGTACCATGCTCTAGACGAGGTAAAGGGGAACGTTTGGTCCTGCGACTTAAAGACACTGTTATAAAGAAGTCCATCCTTTAAAGATTTGCTGTAAGCTGGCACCAATCCTGCTTCTGACTGAAGGAGTGCCTGAACTGGTGCTGGCTGGCAGAGGGTGCATTTGGGTAGCAGGGCAGGTTGCGCCTCCTGGTGCACTGGTCTTTCCAGGCCTCTGTTAACAACCACATCACTGACAGGATGCTGGAATGTGCAGATCTGAAGGGTAAGTGGTTTGGCAGACCCAATGCTTCTGTCTGTATCCTGTCGGGATACAGGCTTACAAAAGGTGTCAGGACACCAGTTGTGGCAGCCTGTGTGTGTAGGTACTACTACTGTAGTACAGAGAGAGTATATCTTAAAAAGGTTTAACAGTGTGCTTTATGACATCTATGGGCAAAGAGGTGACTTGTTGGTTCAAGATGATGTGTCGAGACTGCAACACAGGGATGAAGGGAGCAGGGGAGTCAAAGCTTTTCAAACACTCAGGCTCTTACCATGGGTCAGTAGAACATCTCTGGACTAGCACAGGAACCCAGCCTGGAGTCACCACCTTCCTGCTGCCTGAGCTCACGTGTCTGTTCAGGGCAATCTGTTTGTAGGATCAAGCCCTGTGGTCTCATTCTCAAATTCTGATCACCGCTTTAGAGGGCTCGTTTTTAGCCACATCATGTCTGTGGCTGGGGAAGGAGCATATAAAGGAGGGTCTGTCCCTTTTGATAGCAGCAGTCTGGGGTTGACTTATCCTGACTGGGTCTCTTTGGCGGGTATGAAGGCAACCTGCAGAGCAGTACCTGTGGGGCAAGTTCACTGGTCCTACTCCTTTCCAGCACTGTCCATGTGCCTTCAGTAACATTGTGCATGTTCAGCAGTGTGGACTCGGCCACTGAGGCACTATCACCTTAAGGACTAAGGGAAGGATTGAATTGGATGGTTTGCTGTATTTCGTCACTCCCTCCTGCAGCTGTCAGACCTACAGCCTCAGGTCTTTGCTAGTTCTGAAGTCCACTCTGCATTTGGGCGATGAGGGCATCTTGGGTTGGGGGAGGTGTTCCTGCAGTGCTGTGGTTCTGTATGCACTGGCGTGTGCAGTGCTGCTGCACACATGGGCAGCTGGCTCCTGGCACTGCCAGTTCCTCCTCGGGCAAAGATGTCTTGGCACAGATGGGCACCTCTTGTGATGAAGGACCTGTGTGAGGACTGCAGGGGAATTGCCAAGACTCCTTCCAGAGCTACCAGGGTTGCAGGAAGGGGGTCTCAGTGTGTGGGGGCCTGAGGTCAGGTTGGGGGCCTGAGAGGGGAAATGCCATCCCTGGGCATAAATTTTCATGGGCTAGATTTCATCTGTGTTCCCATTGACATGAAAAGGGCAGGATTTCATTGTGTGTAAGGATGCCACCGAGTCACCATTTTCAAGGAGTGTGAGACTAGTAGGAAAAGGGGAGGATCACCTACAGATTGACTGATTTAACTGGGGGAAAAAGCAAATCAGACCAAAGTAAACCACCAGGAAAGCTTTTGGGCACTCAAGCCCTTTTTCAGAGCTGAATAATCGGAAAAGTTCAAGTTGTATGTTGAACTAACAACTCTGTAGTTTCATGGATGTTCATGTGAACGCATTTAAATACTGGCAAGATACCAGATTCCCCCCCACTTATCTTAAGTTCCCCAGTGTGCCATGATTTTCTATAGAGAAAAAAAAATAAACCAATGGTTCAGTGAACTCATTAGCCAATTAAATACCCTTAGATCTAAGTTATCCTCCTGCAGATTATAAAAATTGTTACTAAACAGTTTCTCTGTAGCATCTTAATTACTGATGGAATAGAAAGTATTTCATTACTGCAAAATATTAATATTATCCATTGTTGTTCCAAAGACCAAGCAGAAATAGTTATTGAATTCTTGGTTTTCAGTATGCAGAACGTATGTTTACACACAGAGACCTGGGGCGTGTGCCCAGCAGCTGCAGGTCTTTGGTTCTCTGCTGCTAGAGCATCCTGCTCTGGAGGTAGCACTTAGAAAAGCCAGAGAAATCAGAAGAGCTGTAAGTACGTCCTGGCCGAGGGAAACTGGGGGGGCTCTCAGACACACTGTGGCTGGCCCCCGGGGGCCGGTGTGCAGCTGTAAGTGCCTGTTCTTTTGTCCTGGGCTTACAGGGCGGGGAGGGCTGGCGGTGCTTCCCCGTGACGCCCCGTGGGCTGAGCACATCCTCCGTCACCACACGAGGCCTCCGGCTGGTCCGGCTGCGCCATGCCAAGCTGCCAAGGGCCAGGCTCCTGGGTTTATTCAGGCCAGCTCTTCTGAGTGGCTTTAGAGGTAAAACTAGATGCAGGGGCTGGAAACTGGAGCTGGACAAACACACGTTAGAAATGAGATATATTTTTAATAGCACAGGTAGTTAATTGCATCTTAGAACAGCTCATCGTGGTGGATGGAGATTTCTCATCTCTGGCTTTTTAAAAATTCAGCAAAAGATCCTCCCTAGCCTGGACCCGAATTCATCCCACATGGTGTTCAGCCCAAGTCCCAAAGAGATCAGGCTGCTGAATTACAGATCTATGATCCATGGACTTGTCACTCTGCCACACTGGTCTGCCTCCAGCCTCTGTCACTGCTGGGACTATGCTTGGCCCCAGGGTAGTGAAACAGTTTCATGTTTCCCTTAACAGCAATGCTCAGTTCCCTGGTACTTCATTGATGTCTCTGACTCCCTCTTTGTTTCCCTCATTTTGTAATCACTGGTTTGTACTGGCTCTATCAGCTTCCTTGCTCTGAATTTGTGTCTGGTATTGGTTTCTGAACAAGATACTCTGAAATAAATGGTGATGCTACTTTATAATTTCCTTTAAATATTTACTCTTATTCAATTCCTTTCACAAACATTTAGCTTTGAGACTCCAGCTGTTTGGAAGTGCTGAGTATGTTTCACCCTGGGACTGGGCAGTGTTTGTGGGCTGCTGAAGGACCTCAGGGCTGGATGTGATACACAAAGGCCACCTCCCTCCCCTCACCAGTCCACCAGCACGTGAGGACCTCACGGGCTGCCCTCTGACCCTTGCAGTGATCCCACCCGAGGAAGTACTGACAAGGGTCTTGGGCTCAGGGCAGTAGGAGCCTTGGTGTTTGCCCTGACCCCACGCAGCAGCACAGCCCCGTGCAGAGCTCTGCCGGCCTGACTCTGGGGGCTGGTTTGGCTACAGCAGCTCTCCCGGTGCCGAGTGCTTCTGCCGTTTGCTGCTAGGAGAATGACTCCAAATGCTTTCCCCCTCTCTGTTCCCCCCAGACACCCTGCAGCAGATGCTCTGCAGGTGGAACCTGGGGGAGCACACCCTTCTGGTGCGAAGCCCTGCCAGCCCCGCTCCTTCCTCGGCTCATCACCAGATGTCAGCAGCGCTGCTCACATCCCTGCCATCCACCCACCTCCCTGCTCCCAGCTGCAAGGCTGTCCCTCGGGCTTCTGGGCCACTTGGGTTTGGGCCAAATGCAAGCACACGTTTGATAGTAACCTGTGACTTCTTAAATTGGGTCCTATGCCTGCCCAGCCTTACTTTGATTCCTGGAAAATACGATAGCGAGTAACCAAACAATTTGTAAGTGCCTGGACACATGCAAAGGTGATCAGACAAATCCTGCTCTCTTCTGTGTTGGGCCAAAGGGCCTGGGGGGAAACGGGCAGGAGGAGAAGATGTTGTGTGTCTTAAATGTCATAATTTCATGCTCTTTCACATAAGATTCTCAGAACGAAATTAATAAAAAGGACGATATAGAGTTTACTATTAGGTGAGAGCATAACTAATCAAAAAAACACTAGTCAGACTCAGTTATCAGTATCAAGAATGGTAAGAAGACAAGGAAATGGCCAACAAAAAGTGCCTCAAGGACTTGGAACTCTATATTCCAAAGAGGAGAAAACAGTGGTGATGGTGCAGAGGGGCCTGCCTCAGCTGCTGTCATCCCAGCTACTGAAACCTTTGGTTGGTGTCTTAGATGGTCTGTGTCCCCTTAGCAAACCAGCTCTCAAAGCACTCCTGTGATAACACCATGCAGGAGCTGTGCTCCTGTGCCATGTGTGTGCCCAGTGGGCAACCAGGAGCTGAGCCACCGCGGGTCCTGCCAGGAGGCACCTGTGGCTGGGAAGAAAGCCT